GGGGGGGAAGGGGGGGGGCGGTCAATTTCCCCAACCTGTGTCCGCCACTGGTATAACAGATTTTTAAGTCGCTTAGAACGTACTTCCTTCATGTAGATTTAAGACAAAGGGCATGTGCCAATTAATAGAAAAGAAAGATGGAATTTTGACGGATGAAATCAAAAATTTAACATTTCTCGTGGTGAATACAAACGTCATAATTTTACCTAGCTCATGGGGCTAGCTAAAATTTTACAGGTTCTATGTATATATATACATACTATTGTTTGGCGGTAATAAAGAGTCAAAATCGAAGTGAAAGCTGAAAAAAGCATAAAAAAGGCGTAAGTTACTTGCAAGTTATGAAATGATATCAATTTCAGCAAAATACAAAAATAAATCATTCGCACGAGCGTTTGTTTGCTTTTTCAACTGTCCAAATTTTAATTTGCATCTGGCACAGCGTTCAATTTATTCGTACACCATAGTACATTTTTCCAACCCGTCTCACCACAGAGAAAAAAAGTTACTGATTGGCATACAGCCAAAGATGCGAATATGCTAAGTTTTGTCAGATTTTGGCTACCACAAAAGCAGAATTTTGAAAGACGAAAGTGCGAAAGTAGAATTTTTTGAGACCGAATTTCAAAATGCGGAATTTTCGAAAGCAGAATTTTTAAAAAGAATTCGAAAAATCAGAATTAAAAAATATAGAATTTTGATCGAGCAGAATTTTTTAACATTTTGCAGAATTCTTGTGATGTACAATTTTGTAATGCAGCGCAATGAGACGCTCCCGAATTATATATAAAAAAAATTAATTTGCAAATACCTAACTCACTGTTTGTACAACGGTGAAGAAGTCTTATTCAACGTTGTATGATTATAAAAAGGCAATAAAATGATCATCGAAAAAGAAAATAAACCTTCTTCCATTAAAAAAAAAAACTCGCTCCTACTTTTCATGGTGAAAAATTTGTAGAACCGTCTGCAAAAAAATTTAAAAAATCAACGGAAATCCTCATCCGCTTCAAATTTGCACATTATTATATTAAAACTGAATGGGATATTAATCTGCATACCAGATTTTTTTTTAAGTTTCGATGAAAATTCGCGGAACTTTCCTTAATTTTGTATAAAGTCTGAAACTGTGATTTGTATAGTTTTGTTTTATAGCTGAATCATGTTTTTGTAAAAAACGAACAAAAAAAAATGTTTGCTTGCAAAACATTGTTAATATTAAAAAAAATAATAGGATTACAAAGATTAATATATGTATGTATGCAGGCAAGTGTATGTTTATAACATATTTTGGCCAATCTTTTTACTTTGACACTGCGGAGAACCCAAAAACATTTCGATTTTTCATTTCACTCCGTTCATTTCACTCCGTTCAAAAATTATAAAACAGCAGCGCTGCTGTTGATATCAAAGCTTTTATAGTGTTGCTAATGCTAAATTGGCAGAGTTGCATTTGCGACAAAAAAAAAAAAGACTTACAAAAAGAATAGTGCACTACAGGTAAGTTCTTTAATTAAAATTAAATAGTAAAAATTCCTCGAAAAGGCAGCTCATTCACCGATTCCCCGAACCGAGATAACTTTTCCGCAAATCGTGGAATTCCCCGCAAGTTGGCATCGCTGATCTACATACTACTTTCGATCTAGGAATGCGATATGATTTATAAGGTGATGTATATTTAATACGGCCATGCATAATTCGCATTCGCCTTTTAAATTTTTTTCTGTAGCTCCGAAAATCCCGCGGATCCCGCATGTGTAATCCCTTATTTCCGATCCCGCGAAAATGGTACAGGATCCCGCATTTGCGGGATTTGATTCCCCATATATGCCCCTATTGAAGTAAATGAGCGATATGTATTTAAGGACAACCGTTCCTAAGTAAAAACACTATAAGCTGATTGCCAAAAAATGCCTACAGCTGAGATCATCTGTTTTTTGGCATTTGCTGTTATATATTACAATTTCTTTCATTTCTATTACAATTTCTGGCATTTCTATTACAATTTAATCAAAATACACTGAATCAAGAACTCCAATCCCCTAATCAAAGAAATGGTAAGAAGCAGAGTTACGTTACTTATAGAACTGTAAAACCATGATACAAAAATAGAAGGTAGCTTCATTTATTGGCATTCGTTGTTGTTTCCGACCACTTGAATTTTAACAAATTTATGATATTTAACTAAAATCATGCTACGAGATCACTAGCAGCAAAAAAAAGTAAAACTGCAATAATTCGGTACACCTCTGCAAAGGTTCGAAAATAAATTATTTTGCTTTTCCGAGGATAGAGTACGTAATACGATCTAATGCAGTTTGATGATAAATTGCTTACGCAAAATATTTTTTAACCTCTAAACGATGTACCGTTATCTGTGCCAACTGACGACAATTGGAAACGCCAAGTGAAGCCAAGTCCTTCCCCACCTGCTCTTTCCATCGCAGTGGTGGTCTCCCTCTTCCTCTGCTACCACCGGCGGGTTCCGAGTTGAATACTTTCAGAGCTGGAGCATCGGTGTCCATTCGAACGACATGGCCAAGCCAGCGGAGCAGCTGTATTTTAATTCGCTGCACTATGTCCATGGCCATCGGCGTAGCCAGAATGAAATTTAGGGGGTCGAAAGTTAGGGGGGGAGGGGGGGCCGAGCCCCCTCTCAAACACTCCAAGAGCCGCCTCTTCGGATGTTGTCATTGTCCATGCTTCTGCGCCATATACCAGCACGGTCATGATGAGTGACTTATAAAGTGTGGTTTTCGTACGTCGAGAGAGGACTTTACTTCTGAATTGTCCACCCAGGCCAAAGTAGCACTTGTTGGCTAGAGCGATTCTGCGTTAGATTTCCATGCTGACATTATTATCGGTGCTTCTCTACTTTCTCGAAATTGTAACTGTCAACAGTTAGGTGGGCGCCAAGGCGCGAATGTGCTGACGGTTTGTTTGATGACAGAATATACTACGTCTTGTTCTCGTTTACCACTAGACCCATTCACTTTGCTTCCTTATCCAACATGGAAAAGGCAGAACAGACTTCGCGATTATTGTTATCGATGATGTCGATGTCTTCGGCATAAGCCACCAATTGCACGCTCTTGTAGTAAATTGTTCCTGAGCGGTTCAGTTCTGCAGCACTTATTATCTTCGCCAACATCAGATTAAAGAAGTCACATGAAAGGCAGTCGTCCTGTCTGAAACCCCGTTTGGTGGCGAACGGCTCGGAGGAGTCTTTCCCAATTCTGACGGAGCTGGTGGTATTGCTCAACGTCAATTTACACAGCCATATGAGTTTTGAGGGGATGCCAAATTCAGACATAGCGGCATAGGCAACTCCTTTTAGTGCTGTCAAAAGCGGCTTTAAAGTCGACAAATAGGTGGTGAGTGTCGATCCTTTTCTTTCTTTTGGCGTATTGTGAATACCTGGTCTATGGTGGATTTGCCAGGTCTAAAGCCACACTGATAAGGCCCAATCAGCTCGTTGATAGTGGGCTTCAGTCTTTCACACAATACGCTCGATAAAACCTTGTACCCTATGCTTAGAAGGCTGATCCCGCGGTAAATGGGGCGAATGGCGTGGTCACCTTTCT